GTACAAGCGTATGTTGCTTCCGTGTACTTAGTACTATATGCCCTTCATCCTCTTCGATGGCCTGTACATTGTCAGTTTCGTTTGCACCTGCAGTAGCGCTTTCGTTCTTCATGTCCAGAGAGACTTCATGCTCATCTTTCTCAGCTGGCATATCCAATGACATCTCTAATTCTGCAAGTGCACCAGTATTATCCACTTGCGCAGTAACACTCTCGCTCGCCAACACAGTGGTCGCCCAAACTTTGTCATCCGGAAGGACGTCCTCGACACATTTCGGCAGTTCTCCATGACTTACGCCCTTGACGCTTGCACCGCCGCTTCCTTCCAAATCTTGGCCACTTGCATCGCCTCTCGATCCCCTGCCATATGCACCGCCGCTTGGTCCTAATCCCAAAGGCGAACCCGATCCCCTGCAATGTGCACCGCTGCTTGGTCCTAATCCCAGAGGCGAACCTGATCCCTTGTCATGTGCACCGCCGCTTGGTCCTGATACCTTTCCCTCTGTTGCTTGACGCCCTTGACACATTTCGTGTTTTTGCAGTTCACCGTGACTTATTGGCTTTCCACTTGCACCGACGCTCGGTCCCAGGCCCTTGCCACTGACACTGCCCCGTGGTTCCGATCCCTTGCCATGTTCACCACCACTTGATATTGTTCTACCACTTGATCTTGTTCCCTTGCCAAGCGCACCGCCGCCTGATCCTGATCCCTTGCCACTCTCATCGCCGCTTGCTCCTTTCCTTTCCCCAACTTTGTCTTCAAGTTCCTCTTCGATACGCCAATTATATCCAAAAGCTGGACTTGTTTCTCGATGATAAAACTCTTCCAGATACTCAAGCCATCGAGATGTTTTGAACTCTTGAAAGATTTCGTCTGTCCTTGCATCCAATCTTGATTGAGAAACCTTCGGATTAAGTCGCAGTAGTCGCTTGTCAATCTCATTTTTAGCGTGTGTGACAAACCTGGATCGTGACATACGTCTGTGGAGGCAAAATTGTCACTCCCCTTCTTCTTTTATAGCCATTACCCAGTTCCCTCTCGCCAATGCAGGTTGGAAGTGGTGGGGGTGCCATAACCTCTGGGGAGAGAATTGCCTGCAACCTCGGATCATCCCGAACTGCACCGGAAGATAGCGCTGTTGTGTTGCCCGCCATGTAACTGGTCCGTTGAAACTGGTCCGTTGAAACTAGTCCGTTGTAACTGCCATACTCGAAGCCCCCCCAGAACCGGACGATGTGCCCGGCGCACCCATCTTCTGCGAAGCCGAGCTACAAACTTTTTGTCTCTCATCTGCCAAAGCCGCTTGCAAAGTACCATCTTCACTTTCTTCCTCTGAGTCCTCAGCATCGAAGCCTTCCCCAAAACAAGTTGCATAAGCTGCGATTGTAAACGCCCCGATTTGTTCGTCGAAGTACATCATCTCCAAACGATCTAGAAATGCAACTTCCGTCTCCGTCGGTGCCTTATGATACCCCCTCAGAAGTGAGTCTATTTTTCGTCTTCTGACGACATATGCACGTTCCCCTCTGTTTTGTGGCTTAGTCTCGAAAAGGAACTCCCAAATGTTGACGATGTTTTGGCCGACTTTGTAGACGAGATCACGCTTTTCATCATGTCGAGGAGGCGGCTTAACAAAGTTGGCGAAGTAAAGTCCACTCTTGACCATCTTGGTGACGAATTGAACGAGAAACTCGAACTTCATACCCTCCCCTTCCAGAACAATGCAATGACGGTGACTCTTTAACAACTCCCAAATCAACGCCGCATGGCCTTTTCCCAGGAAAACAACCGCCTCATCCGCAAGACAAAAATGCTCCAATGTCTCCACCATCGCATTTGGCTCCCTTTCCATACCTTCATACACCGGTTTCTCTTTTGGCTCCATACCTGCCATTTTCAACTTCGTGGGCGTGAAATTCTTCTCCACGACATCAACCAACATCTTTGGCCTTCTCTCTCTGCGCACAAGTGCTGATAAGTCACCAGCCTGCTCGCCAGATGATCGATCCGCAACCGGAGTGCTTGTTGGAATGTCTTCAAGCAAGGGAATAGTGTTGCGGTGATAATCCCCATCGTTGGAGTACATGATGACAACCATTCTGTCTGTGTCCTCCAAAGGCAACTTCGCAACCTTATATAAATGCTTCGCCTTCGTTTGTTGCTGACGAGTCCACTTTAGAATAAACAAGTGAATGTCAACCTCCCAACTTGTAACTCGCTTGAAAAATGTATACTCGCAAGACCTCGGAACGACGCACAATAATGTCCAATAATCACAAGCCAGTTTTCCCATGAATTTCCGCAGACCATCAAAGACTTCTTCAGTCCACACCCCTATCTGGGTTGGGTGACACAAATCCAGCACGGCCGTGTGGCAACTCAGATGTTTGACGACTCTGTATATTTCCTTGGAATCCATCTCGTCTGAAATATCGCTTGGTTCCCGTTGGAATGGGACGAAAACAAAGTTCACGTTCTGTCTTTTGAAATGTATATATTGCGTCGAGCCGGACATTCTTATGCTTTCCGAACCCCTGGTTTCTGATCTGCACAGCAGCTTGTTGACAAACTGCACGAACTCTTCTGGGCACTTCGCAGCAAGTGACGCTGTTTTCTTGAAGCCCTCTTCTCCTTTTTCCTCCTCTCCTCCAAGTGTAGCCGGGAACGTTCGCACCCAACTCATGTCTTTGAAATGGCGACGCTGGTCGATCCACCTCTCGGACGTCAATCCTTCATTAGAGTACTTATCAAACAAATCAGAAAGGTTGTTGAAGAATGGTTTCGTCCACTCTGACGACTTCCTGTGAGGGTCAGAAACGAAGACGAAGTAGTGAAACATCCTCAACATTACTCTTTCAATCTTCACCAGTTCCACATATGTTTCCGTTGAATGTTTCCCGGCACGTTCAGCAGCTCCACTTCGCTTAGGAGTCAGTATCACACCGCCTGTGAGAATGTCTCGCAACAGTTGCAGCCGCTCACGCATCCCAAGCGCTGAAAAAGGCTTCCACGCTCTGATATCCGGATCGTGCACAGCCACGAGGTAACCAGGTCCTTTGGTACCCTAAACCCAGTAAATCGGATACCTAACTCCACCTTTCAACTCAAATCCGGATCCATCTCTCGGTGCCTTCCTTGATTCACCTTGTTTGGTAGCAGGCTTCACAGCATCTCTCCCCGACAATTATCCAGCTTCCCAAGCGGCGTACACTTGTTTCACCTTTTCAAAAACGTCATCTGTCGCCCTTGTTAACAACATAAAGAGCCCGAGGGCGTCAGACCACTGACCGCTCCATTGAGTAGTAAGGGACATGTCAATCAAATTTCGAATCCCGGTCAAACGAAGAGTCTCTGCTGCAAACTTTCTATACTCTGCATTTTTCACTTCTGTCGCTGAGCCGCCTTTAGCTTTAGAACAGTTCGACTCGTGCCACAACTTCCGTATGTTCTGGATAACCACGATCTGGTGAGGTGGGGTATTCCATTTGTCCTTGGCATTCTAGAAAGTGCTCAGCGTGCCGTAATTGTCCATGCCCTTATCCGGATAATAAACAGGCATCGCACTCCAGCAATCCAATCGGAGCTCTTGTGCAATGTCAGGGCGTTCAACAAAACACCTTCTTGCCGCCGCCATGTTATGCTGACCGCTGAGAGGGTAATAGTAGTACTTGTTCACAGATTCGAGGTCGAAATCATCGGGCAACACCCTCCTTGCTCTCACAATCCTCCCTGAAGCGTCAGTATGCAATGTATCACGGAGGGCAACCAACAAAAGGACAGGCTTCTCATACAATGTACAAACATTCACACCGGCAGCTCCAGTCATTCTCTCTCTCATAGCAGCCTCACCCGATGCAACCATTGTGTCATAAATGTCGTCAACCGTCTGCTGCACAAGATAGCATTGATTGTATCTGAATTCCCCGTCGGGGATATCCAAAATTCGATCGAACTGGACAAAAATGAATTCCATGTCTAGACATTGGTTCCCACGCTCGTCCAACTCAAGGAAGAAGCCTTTGTTGAGAACACCAGAAGAAGTCGCTAATGGCACATTTCACAAACTTGGCGGCCTAGTAACTGTCTTGCCTTTGGCCTCTTCATCCGATTGTGGTTGTTCCGCTGGGAAAACGGAAGTCTTTTCCATGACACCACCTTTTGCCTATCTTTTATTTGGCTGCTGCATTTTCTTCGCGGCTGCCTCAGTCTCCCGTGTTCTCTGGACCGCCTCATCCACAGGCATTATTTTCAATTGTCTTTTTTCACCCGCTTCTTGCCTACTCCGTTTACTATCCATAAAACTTTTCCTCTCCCGCCTGTGCTTCCTCTTTCGCTCAAAGAGCCCTGCAACATCTGTATGCCCAGCCACAGCCGCTGTCGCGTGCACATCCCCCTCGCATCCTTCGTAGCTGCTCCCTTATCCTCCTGCCAGACCAACCTTCCCACCCAATTCGCTCATAGTGTGTTCACTGTCTTCATCCTATCCAACCACTTTACTTGTCTCTCCTGGATGCCTCGTCATGCCGCCGCCACCCGCAGCATACTCATCCTGTCCTCCTGCTCGATCCGAATATTCCTCGCTGTTCTCTTCATCCTCATCTTGAAAATACTCATGGGCTTCCTCTGTGCGACTTGGCACAGTGTAGTCATAGCGTTGCTGGCCCACCAAGGGGAGATGTCCCTTGGTGGCCACATCATAGCGCGATCGGCTTCCCAAGGCAACTAGTGCTTTGGTCGCCGTAGGCCTGGTTTTCATAGGGGCTGACGGTACGACCAGCCCGCGGCACGGACCCTTCTCTCCGATCTGCCCAACTCTCGGACCAAGCGGCGTATCGCGGATCATGATCGAAGGCCCTGTCTCCACGGGTTTCGAAAGCACGCATTTAGGCTCTGATATGCGGTCCTTTGGATGCACAACTGGCTCTCTGCCCGCGATCACATTACTGTCGAAAAACCCGAGGACGTCAACGAGGTTAGGCAACTTCACTTCCAATGTCCATGGTGGGTTGAACACATCAACCAGTGACTTTCCGAACCCCGCGTGGTTGGCCCATCGAAGAGCGACGTGTTTAATGTTTGGTATTCTTTCCCCTCTTCCATTCAGGACCATCGTCAACTCGAAAGTTGCAGACGACACATTTTGTCCAGTCCACCTCACCAGACCGCCAACCGGCACAATATTGTCTTTGATGACCACGTATAGAACAAGGCCACTCGATGGTTGTCCGATCTCCCCCACCCAGTCCAGCATCTAGAACCTGTCCTTGTGGTCAATCACGGGCACATCTTCTCGCCGACCCGTGACAGTCATTTCACCAGACGGTTTATGTTCGCCAGACGGTTTACGTTCTCCAGACGGTTTACGTCCGGGCATAACCTCCACTGCAGATCTCCCCTGCTGCTGACCAGGCACACGTTCCCGACCCGCAGGCCCGCCAGTCATTAACACAGCCTTATCCGGTCCAGAGCCCCGAACACGAGTCTACGGAGTGCCCGTGGAAGGTGCATCCCTCGGAACCGGGGTGCGTTGCCGCTTAGACCCCGGTGCCTCTTGACTCCCAACCCCAGCGGCTGACGTCCCCTTCGATGTTTTCGGAGATTGCTCCATGCTCCCAGAATTCTTACTTGCTCGTCGTTTACTTGCCTTCCCCTCTCCTTCCCTGTTTTGCAGTGCTCCCGAATCTGAAAGCAACACAGCACATCACCATGAAGCAAAAAATCAGAAGGCTGCACAACGTTGGCATGGCACGAGGAACAGAAAAGTTTTAGATAGTGATAAGGCAACGCAGCTCCTTCGTGACAAGGCAACCCCGATCGTGTTCAATTCGATCGTGATCCTGCCCGTGGTCAACACGATCTTGCTCGTCGCGAGCGTGACAGGCCAGCTCGATCGTGTCCGACTTGATCGCGGTTGCTCAGCTCGCCTGAACTCGACCGTAAGTCCGGGCGCTCGTATGCCCATCGTATTCAACACTGTCGATCGTGAGTCCAGGCGATCGTGTTCGACTCGATCGTGTCCGAATCGATCGCGTTCGACTCGATCGTGAGTCCTGGCGATCGTGTCCGACTCGATCGCGAGTCAAGGCGATCGTGTTCGACTCGAACGTGAGTCCAGGCGATCGTGAGTCCAGGCTATCGTGTTCGATCCGATCGTGAGTCCAGGCGATCGTGTTCGACTCCATCGTGTTCGACTCGATCGTGTTCCACTCGATCGTGTTCGACACAATCGTGTTCGAGTCGATCCCGAGTCCTGGCGAACGTGTTCGACTCGATCGCGAGTCCAGGCTTTCGTGTTCAACTCGAACATGAGTCCAGGCGATCGTGAGTCCAGGCGATCGTTTTCGATCCGATCGTGAGTCCAGGCGATCGTGTTTGTGAGTCCTGGCGATCATGTTCGATCCGATCGTGAGTCCAGGCGATCGTGTTCGACTCCATCGTGTTCGACTCGATCGTGTTCCACTCGATTGTGTTCGACTCGATCGTGTTCGAGTCGATCGTGTTCGAGTCGATCGTGTTCGAGTCGATCGTGAGTCGTGGCGAACGTGTTCGACTCGATCGCGAGTCCATGCGATCGTGTTCGACTCGAATGTGAGTCCAGGCGATTGTTTTTGATCCTATCGTGAGTCCAGGCGATCAAGTTCGACTCCATCGTGTTCCACTCGATCGGGTTCGACTCGATCGTGTTTGACTCGATCGTGTTCGAGTCGATCGAGGTCGACTCGATGGAGGTCGACTCGATCGAGTTCGACTCGAACGTGGCGGGCCAGCTCGACAGTTCGACTAGATCGGGCTCGCAAACAGAACACGGGGAAGGGACGTCGTATCCAACAGCAAGCAAACAGAACACGGGAGCGGCGTACCTAAAAGTCACATCAAACAAGGCAGACGAATCGAAAGCCGGCATCAACAATTTCACATCAAACCCATTGTTTCCATAACACACACAATCTCAGTTCACATTCTTGCTGAACAACCCACATTTCTCACACTGTTCATCTTTCGCTGAATAGGGAGCGGCGTCACCAACAAGGCACACCAATCAAGGCACATCAATTGGAAGCCTACATCCATTATCAATTCGAGGCATTCAATTGGCAAGGCAGGCAACCGGCACCCGCAACGAGCGACTAACAGTACGCTCCACCAATTACTAATCACACACACACACACACACAAGGAGAGAGAAAGAAAGAGAGAGAGAGGTGTAACCGGCATCGACAAGCTCACATCAAACTCAATGCTCGCACGCATACACAGTCTTAGTTGTCACTTTTGTTGAACAACTGAATAGCTGACATGTCCTACACTGTTCATCTCCCATGACCTCCCCCACGACCTCGACTATCCTTTCGCCCCGAAACCGTACACTGCGCTCAGGGATGAACCGTACGTAAGGAGCTGTGGACTACACAGGGTTGCAGTGGCGGAGAAGCAAGACACGTATCGTGCACGGACGAAACCACATGATCTGGCTAATGTGTGACCGATGGCGTCTCTAATGACCGTCACCTACTCCTCGACCTCCTTCCAATACCGGGGTGTGTCAACCTGCCCCGCCAGTTTCACGTCAAACTTACTGTTCCTCCAACCATGCGGTAACATAATCGAGTCCCCGTCAACAATGAGCTCGTTCCTGGACACGTAAAAACTGGCTTCCGCTGAAGTCTTACTTCTATTTCTTACCGAAACACAAAGAACCCTAGCGAAATAGAAACGACAGAGATCAACATGTAGCAGAAGTACGACACACTCCCCGTCAAGTTGTCCTCGAAAGGAAGGGGATATTTCTCTAAAAACAGGTTTTGTTTCGCGCAGTCCAGCAACTCCATCTTCATCGATGGTCCCCACAAGCGCGGCGGACACGACACGTTGTGCGCAGTCAGCGACAAAGACAGGTCTCGGGTACGAAATGCCGCAGACAAGACCGGCGTGTGTTTCGTCACGAGGATCTGGTCGAGGAAGATGAATGTCCCCCATTCCTGGCTGGATGCTAGTCGATAATCAGACGCCCAAAGGCAGTCTTTCATTGTGTTCTCCCAGTCTAATTCGGACC